CCCCCCCCCCCCCCCCCAAACTCATTCACACATATTCCTGCCACTGGCATGTGCTGTTATTTCATGCTGTGGCATTTTAGGTCTGTTGTGATAATTTTACTAAACACATTGGTTAAAGAACATGCACCATGTGGGAAATATTAATATTGAAATATTAAAAGGTATTTAAACTAGATTCTGATCAAATAAAGGAACCATCTTGGCCATTACTATTTGTGTTATTGCCACAAAGACAGCCTGATGATACTTTGGGCCCCAGAGGGTCTAGGTTCATGTTACCTGCTTTGTTTGGTTGCTAATACGGTGCCACAGAGTTGGATAAAAAAGGTAGACAGTACAATCAAAACAAACAAAAAATAATGTGTCTCAATATGGCCCAGATATAAGTCAGAATACAGGGAATAAAAAAAGCATACCCTAATTGCTGATCTAAAGCGTGTAGAAGGACAGAAGTTTTTTGATTCTCTGCTAAGCTTCCCTTAAATGGCAAAGAGAGAAGAGAGAAGAGTCTCTTCCCAATGGAGCAATCAGCATGTTAATACTGAAGCAAAACACCTCAAAATTCTCCCTTATATTGGAACCCATTTTAAATAACCTAACAATAGCATTTAATTAACAAGGAGTTACACCTGAGCATTTAGATTTTAACCAAAGAAGTCTCTGTTGTTATTTCACTTGTCTTCCTCTTTAATTATTCTGAATTAAAGTCTCGCTGAGATTCTCTGGGGCTTTAATTAGGGACTGAATTAAAGTTATGTAAATACAGTTGGAAGCCGCACAGTCTTTAAATAGAGTTGTGTTTTTTATTTTCATTTTTTTCTGAAAGAGAAAACATCCTAAGTCTTTCTTTTGAAGTTTGTCAAATCACTCCGGGGTACTTTTCCCTTAGGTGTTGTGTGGATTGATACTTTTTCTCAAAGGGCTGTGACACGAAAACTATTTCTGCAAATGAGCCATTTTCATTTCTCTGAATGCATGTGAAAATGTGTTGCGTTTTGTGTGTGTTTCTGTGTGTCGGTTTCCTGCATACAGTACCCAGTAGTTTAGTATTTATATCACTGTATAAGAATGAACAGATAAGTGACATGCGTGAAGTCACCTGCCTATGAATGTATTAATGACCAATCCTCCACCTCCAATTTTCTGATCTACTGTGAAAGTGAAAAGAACAGGATCAACCTCCCATTGGGCTAGATTAAATCCAAACTAAATGCATGGGCCCAGACTGCAAGCTTCTGTCTCTGAATAATAATGGGTTCTTTCAGCTGTGTTTGTCATCAAATTAGCCCTCTACTTCAGACGAGGTGCTCTCAGAGAGCAATTCTCGACAACAATGGAATTCAGATTAGAAAAAGTCAGTTTGAGGTATGTAAGGTTTAAAAAGGAGAATAAGTTTCATTTGTGAAGGTGATGATTGCCATAGGAGGTAAAATGATTTTGTTGAAGTTCATGAAATCCCCTTCCTCCCTGTGGTCCATCGGCTTTCATGCTGATTCTGAGTCATGTTACAGTAAAAACCAACATTAAACCAGCTATTTCAACCTACAGCTTTCTCTGCATGCTCTAAATCCAACCCTCATTCTTAACCATGAAGGCCTTGAAGCTTCTCCATCAGTGCGCGCCTTCAAAAATACACTGCAACTGTATAGAGTGCATTTGTAAGCATGGAGCAAAGCTTTTAAGTCTTGAGACCAAGTTCACTTTTGTTTGTCTTCCTGCCTTGAGTTTTGTGTTCAAGGAATGCAGGTTGAGTTCTTTCTGCTCCTCTCTGCCTGACACAGTATTCTTCTTGTACCTTTGATCAACCCAGGAGAGGAAAACTTGCCCTGGGAAGCACCATCACTCCAACACAGGAGGGGGCAAGGAAGAAGGGATGGAAACCTCTTTTCCTCCTGGCACTTTCTGTCTTACACACTCTCTCTAAAGGATTGAGCAACAATTAAAAGATCAGTTCGAGGCATCCGATGAAGCGATGGCAAGCTTGAATCAGAAATAGCTGAGACAGTTGGATGTGAACTGAAATCATCTTTCATTTATTAAGTTGGTCTGCAGAAGGAATTTTATTACACGTAATGACTTAATGCATAAAGCCACAATCAAGGATTTATAAAACATACTTGAAATGAAAATGATCTTATCTTTACACATACTGAGGATGCAAAGTAAGGTTAATTCTATTTAAGATGCAGTGCCAATGTAATAATGGGGATTCATGGCTAATTGTGGTCATTAATGAGCTGAGTCCTGATGCTTAATCATGTGCGCAAAATCAAAAGTTAATGAGAGTTTATAAATGGGTAACTGAGCAAATATTTTCTATAAACCAAACAATTTGCCAGTGGGTTTTGAAGATTACTGTAAAACACACATATTATCAGGATCTTTTTGATATTAAAGGGTAACATTTGCATCAAGTCAAGTACCCTTGTAAGTTTTAGGATTTGTCTTTGATGTTCTGAGACACAGCAGGGAATTAGACATTGTATAAATGCCATCTCTTTTGGAAGAATGAGAATCAGTTGGTTCAAAAAGCAATTCACTGTCCTTGATAAGTAAATGGTAAATGGACCTGTACTTGTATAGCGCCTTTCTTGTCTTCCGACTATTCAAAGCGCTCTTACACTACATGCCACATTCACCCTTTCATACACATTCACACACCAATGCACAACCAACAATTCAGATTTTCTAGTTGAAGAACCACATTTTTGAAGAAATTCTGTTCCACAAAATACCGTATCATTATTATTATTATCAAACTAAACCACACATAACCTTCTGCATTTTATTTTATAAAATAGCTTTTCTCTACCCACTAGTACTAGTACATGATCCATTTTATAAGATCTCCTTTATCCAGGACACCCACCCTGTGATGGAGAGTTCAAAGCAATTACAGGCAAATTCATAATCTTAGGTTAGGGTAGGCAATGGATGATCTAAGTAGAACTCAGGGCCAATAGGCAGAGGCGGGCAAGAGATAATTCTTCAGATTTAGGTTATTCCTGTGAGATTTGGCTGAAAATACATCTTTAGAAAATATTAGGTCATTGTTGGTACCCATGTTCCATGCAGATTTTCTAATAAAATTTGTCGCTGTGAAAGATTAGTGAGTTTGTATCAAATGCTAGATTTCATGCTCCAACTGCATGTCAGTGTGAATAAGTTGGTGTCATTACAAATCACATACATCGTTTCAGTGGATTCAGCTGGTCTCTTCATCCTCACGGCAAACTTTTCTGTGAGCAGTAGACACACTTTTGAAAAGAAACTCTAATCTTGTTTTGGAAAGTAACCCTACACATGCAGTGAGAGACTCTAAATGGAAGAAAAAAAAACGTAACGGAAATGTTACTTATTTCCAGGAAATGCATGGTGTTGAGATGCTACTGAAATAGCTTTAAATTGTTTGCTGAGAACAACGGTAGTTCCTTGTAATGGATTGTTTTCGTCTGTGTCTTGCTCCTTTCCCCTGCAGGACTGAAGCAGATTCATGCCCTGTCCATTCAGGGAAACTATGAGCTACGTATTGACTTGGAGGACTTTGAAAATAGCACCGCATTTGCCCAGTATGGTACCTTTGGAGTAGGCCTCTTCTCAGTGGACCCCGATGATGATGGATACCCTTTGACTGTGGGAGACTATTCTGGCAATGCAGGTATGTATAACCAGTGAACTAGTTAGACTTTGCTTTCAAGATTTCCTTTGCTTGTACTCTGAAAGTATACTACTTATTTGGTTTTCGAGAATTTATTTTTTTCATTTAACCTAATTGTGAAGACAGAAGTCACGGCAGTTAAAGCTCTAGCCAACTACAAGTGCATGCTGCCTTCTAGTAATAATAATAGTATGTTATTTTTACAGTGCAGTAGGTGTGTCCACTTGTTAAACCATGTAGACAGCCACACACAGATAGGGGACTGCAAGTGTCTGTGTCTCTGCTCCCCAAGCATCAGATCCAAGCCAGCTACCTGTCACCTTGATTAAATTACTGCCAATTAATTGCACTGCTTGACCTGCAGCGTAAACAAAAACCTGCCGTTGAAATGAAGAAGCAATTTAAAGAACCTTTGGGGAGCGCTGCTCCGAGAACACAGAGAGAATGGGGACAGATATGAGAGATGGAGCAGAGGAGAGGTAGGGCTAGAATAAACTAGGATGGAGGAACAAAGGGGACAGGTGTGTGAGAAGAAGAGAGTAACAGAAGTGAGCAAGAGGTAAATAAAAATTAGTATAGAGGTGTCTAAGGGAAAGATCGAGGCAGATAAAAGTAGAGAAGTAAAAAAGGAGGGGAAGGAAAAAAATGTTTTGTGTGTGTAACAGCTTTTCCCCCAGATATGGTGCCTGCTAAAGAGCCCTGTAATACTCCTGACTTGTCCTCAGCATGGCCTGACCTTGAACTCATCCTTCTTGTTGGACATTTTGATCCAGTCAAATTAAGGGTACTCTCTCAGGATGCTCATGGTCTCACCTCGGCTTCCCTCTAGGCAGTGCTACTGTTATTATTATCAGTAGTAGTATTTTGCTGTGCTGTGGCTGCTTTCTGACCAGCTGACAGGTGCTCATTTGAGCTAGGAGCAGCTGGATCTTAGTGGGCATCAGAGGCAAGTCGCCCCCCCAAGCCACCAAGGTGACATCCAGCGCCTTGCAAATTAGGCCTTAAAGTGCTTCTGTTTTGTTTTGTTTTTTGCCTCTTTTCTACCTCTGCCGGACATCATCCCATTGTCAATTGAGCACTTTCTTTTTCTTATTTTTTTCTACCTCACTATCTCTTTTCACCCAATTTCAAGAAGCACACTACATGAATATTAGACATGCCTATCAGATTATCTATTCTGCTGACTGGTTACCATGGTAATGCCAAATGGAGAACAGAGTAGGACAGAGTGAGAGGGTAAAGAGCTGAGCGGCCACATCCTGGGCAATTAAGGGCTGTTTGATGCCCTGACGAGCTGTTAGCCATCACCTGATGGCTGGTGAGCGGTCTTTCATTCTGCTCTCAGCTTTATCCGTCCACTTCTGGTCACAGTGTGAAGCCTGCTTTAGAAAGAAAGAAAAGGACAGGGAGTGAAGGGGAGGTATGGTGGGTTTATTGAACATTATTAGCTCTTTGAACATCCATTTGCTGAAAACTTTAGGTCTACCGCAGGATAGCAAGGACTTGCTTTTATTTTAATTCTAAGCCTTTTAGAGCAATGGCTTGTAAAGGAGTTATCAATGTGAGTTGAGCTCTGCAATTTGAATCTGCATACTTACCATGCCGACCAAGATTAAGGGTAGTTAGATTATACATCTTGCATCCTTGGAGTTGTATAATATCATTGTCATATTCACAATCACAGATTGCAGGGAAGAATGCCCTCTCACTGACTATTTATATTTTAAAGGTTTCAGGACCAGTTACATAATATACCAAACAAAACCTACCAAATACCTAAAAGATGCACATGCTACAAGAAAGAAAGTCCATTAAGTATGTATTTCCCCCCCTCTGTTCATTTCTGTCCATTAACTGACATCCTGATTATATCATTGGGGTGGTGTTATTAAAAAGAGGAAGATAAAAAGGTCACCACAGAACCTTTGATAAATTGGCTACAAAGCCAGTCTGACCTCCTGCTTTAGATAATGAGAAGCAATATTCTGGAGAACTGTGGAGCTTTATTTTTTATTCTATCATCTCCTTATGTTTATAGAAATGCTTAACTGAAGAGTAGAATATGTTGGTTCAAATGCAATGGCTGTTGCTTAAAACGTTTTTTCTTCAATCACCCAGCTGCTCATGTTTATGAGAGCTTGTTTCATTCCTTGAATGCCAATATGTAAGACTATTTAATAAATATCTATATTCTACTTGACATTACAGTTTTGTTATTTTTCCTGCCCTAGGTGACTCTCTGCTGAAGCACAATGGGATGAAGTTCACCACCAAAGACAAGGATAACGACCACTCAGAGAACAACTGCGCCTCCTTCTACCACGGTGCCTGGTGGTACCGCAACTGCCACACCTCCAACCTTAACGGCCAGTACCTGCGTGGTCAGCACACCTCCTATGCTGACGGCATCGAGTGGTCCTCCTGGACTGGCTGGCAGTACTCCCTCAAGTTCTCCGAGATGAAGATACGACCTACCCGCGACCCAGAGAATAAATGAGAAAGACAAAAGAGAAAGAAGATAAAAAGAAGAAATTTTATGAAACATTACAAACCACAACTTCTGACAGCTAGGTGGAGTTACTTGTCTTGATATTGTTTATTCACTAAAACATACCTCTTTGAGTTAAGTCGATTCTGCTGTTTTCCTCCTGATGTTTCTCTCCCTTTTTGCTCCTCTTCCTCCATCACTCAGCTACTAGTGTCATGCTGGCTACCATTATCCCTCCTTCCCCCATAGTCCCTTTCTTAAAAAAAAAAATAATATAACCATCATCCCTTTATTTTTGATCATTCAGTTAATAATAACTGCAAACCCAGAGCTCCGAACCCACAGTCCACTGCGCTAGCTTTACTCATGGTGGTCCAACCATCTCCTGCAGAATCACACACCAGTGCTTTCCTCTTGACATGTAACTTCCATCTGTGCTGACATGGCACTTGGATTGTGGTTCAGTGTCGATGCCCACTGCTGTATAATCTGTGGCTGGAGAGAGTCTTGCTCTAAAAAAAAACCTTCACAAAATATGAAGAGGAGATACAAATCCTCCTTCCTCCACCTCTGCAAAGGAAATCCAGGAGGAGTTTCCCCAGTGAGAAAGGACAGCGCAGTGGTAAACTATGTCACATTTACATCCTTGATCTGTGTGAATGAGACCCAGCAGGGTAGTGGCAAGAAGTGTGGGGCCTAAGATAATGAGAGAGAGACAGAGACAGAGAGAACGAGGAAACAATTTGACAAGAGTTAAATTAGTCGAAGCTAAAGACAGAGTAAATCAACGGGGAGAGAGGAAGTGGAAGAAGAGGAGGTGCAAAAAGGATGAAAAAGAGAAATGAGAAAAAGAAAGAGACAACGGAGGATCTCATTCATCTGACTTGGGCCATTAGGGAGCATATTGGGCACTTTGTCTGATTTGCCTGCCAGCTGAGTACTGGCCAACTGATGCAGCACTCACAGATGGTAACCCAGCACTTTGTGTGTGTGTGTGTGTGTGTGTACGTGCATATGCGTGCGTGTCTGGATTTACGTGTGTGTGTGTGTGTGTGTCTACAGAGAGAGACAGACAGAGTTCTCTCACACTATCAATTTCCTGTCATGAGTTCAGTGGAGCGTCTTGACTGACTACAATGTTTAGCACAGACAGACTAAACATGATGCATGGCTGGCATACCTTCACTCTCTCCATCTAAGTAGTTAACATGAAATAACAAAGCCTGTAAAGTATGTACATGTATTAAGAAGGAAAAGACAACAATTTGGAGAAGAATTGGGAAGAATGGAAGAGAATCAAAGAGTAATCAAAGACTGTGTCATACCTACACTGTTGATCTTATTTTCTTACCTGTTGAAGAAAGTCACACTTTTGCCAACAATTCCCCTTCCCTCTTCTCTGGTTTGTTCTCTGTTTTGTAATTTTTTTCTCCTTTCCAGGTGATTACTATGACATTTTTTTTGTGTGACACAGTTTCTCTTGTCATGCAAGCGGACAGAAAGTTTCTGTATAATAAGATTTGACGCTCTCAACCACAGTCTTTTTCTTCTGAGTAGGAATTCTACAATGTGTTATGGCAAAAACAAAATTGCCTAAAGCAAACAAAAAAAAGAATGACAGAAAAATGAAAAAAAAAATTATGAAGAAAAAACAAAGGCAACCTATGGGCAGAAAATAGTGCAATTCCGATTTTCTTTCTGTCTCTTTTTTTTAAGTCGGTGAATCAACTTTTTTCAGTTTCATCGAGTTTCTTTGGATGTATTAAAAGCTTTAAAAAATATCTGTAGATTTCAATGTACAGTGTGTATGACTTTTAGAGCATGTGAAGCCGTTTTCTTACTATGCTAAAACACAAAGAGTACTCAAGCACATGGACAAAAATCCACTGGTTAAAAAAAAAATGTAAGTAATGTATTAGAGAACCTTTTCCCTTCCTCTATGTGAGCGACAGGTGGGAGTGGCCCAGGCTGCACCGAAGGTCAAATATATGAATGAAGAGGAGGAATGTGATTATCCCTCAAGCACATGCCCATTCAAATCTGCAGCACAAATATAAATCTTTTACGGAGGAACAATATGAGAGAGATTTCAAACCTCTTGGCACGTTAGCTGCCTTGCTGGACATATGTGATCTTTCTGACATTTTGGCTTTGGAAAGTCTTGTGGCACTGTCCGGGAGACAGTTTTGAATGTGTGTTGAAAGGTGTCGTCCCAGTTGACAGTGAGTTAACGTGTAGCACTGAGCAACGCTGCACTGAATACCTCTGACACTGGAACAGCTGTGAGTTTTTCTGTCATCACCGGTGCTTGGAAGGATCCCCCTTTGCTGTGTGCATTTCTGCAGCACCTCGGCTGTGTACATACAGCTCTACGTCATGTCTCGGTGGACTACTGCCACCTTCTCTTTGACATCAAAGCACAGACACATGTTACAGATACTTGCTGATGTTATAATGGCACAGAGTATGAGGTCTGATAATGTCAGAGGATATGGCAAATTTAAAAAAAAAAAGTTGGAAATGTATAGAGTCACTCAAGGAGAAGGAACCGGACTGCGTGTGAGAATGTATGCAAATGTATGTGTGTGTCTCTCTGTGCTAGACAGAGCAGAGGGGTGTGTGTGTATGAGCGCGTGTGCACATGTGTGCGTCTACAGTGTCTCTGTGTGTACACATATATGCACATGCTTTGGATTGTACATGCCCATGTGCATGAGCCAAACAACAGAGCGGGAGGCTGAGTGTGTCTCTCTGTGGAAATTTTGAAGTAATGTGATGCTTATGTACAACTTGCCTCCCCTGCTATTTGTGTTGATAACAGAGAGATTTACATAATTATAATGAACTATTACTTATTGTGATTGTGAACCCATAAAAGTGGACACCACCTTCTGGTACTGTGTTGAACTGCGCTCGTACCCCAAAACCCTGACAACCCACTCCCAAAATCTTTATTCACCTCAACACCACATTGTGCTCACTGTATATGTTAATGCTATGTTGCCCCTTGTTATTTAAATGTAAAGACAAGTATTATTTGCCATGCCCCCTTTCTGTGTTTTTGTTGAGTGAATGCTTTTACAGTCACTCTCTCTGCTGCAGCTTGCTAAGTCTCCAACGGAAGAGATGATAAAAGAGTGAAATCAGAGGCTCTAATCATTCCCAGTTATCCCGCTCATTACAGTGCATCAGCACCCTCCTGATCGATCCCCCAGGTCCCCAAACCTCCTATCTTTCTTACTGTGTACCTCCTTAATTGCCTTAGCCTCTGCTGCCAATTCCCTCTCACTCCATAGATCCTAAATTCACCTCTCTTCTCTTCCCGGCTCCTGACTCCCTGCCTCTTTATTGCTCTGCTTTTTGCCCCACTCTTGTCCCCACTCTCCTCTCTCTGGCCCTCAGTCCTCCCATTCCTTCAGTCCCAGCGCAGAACTAACTCTGTTTTCTTTTTCTTTTCTTTTTGGTGAAGTACTATAGATTGTTTTGCTGAATCTTGATACTGTGTTTTAATGTTCTTGTCAACATTTAATAAACATTCACATTTTATAAATGGGGAACACCCTGAAGTGCGTGGGGTTTTTTTTCTCATTGCATCCATGTATCCAGCAGCGTGGTCATTTGTGAGTTTGTTTTTTGTCTGAAAATGTTGCTTTGATCAAACAAACAAAATTTAAAAAAGGCAATTAACATTTGGTAGCCTTTCACCTCTCAGAAGAAAACCTGTGTTCATGTTTTAGAACATCAACCACAACAATTCCCAATAGTGTGAAAGGTAGCCTAAACAGACCCAGAATATAAAAACATCTCAGAGTCATGCAGAGAGTTTTGGCATGCCCCTCCTTACAGTATGATTTGTGACATGGGTGGAGTTTCTTTGGTCCTACTAGGGCAGTCCAAGCTACTGCAAGAAAGTCTATTAAGGTATTTATATTTATGCAAAAAGTAGTTCAGTTAGCAAGGCTAAGACAGTGATAGCCTAGCCTGCTTGACCAAAATGGTGTCGGAGCACCATAAGAGATTAAAATGTACCTCCACACATATGAAAAAGCATAACCGGTGACAGTGCATGGCACACAATGATGATGATCAGTGACGGCGCACCACATTGACACTACTGACAAAATGTTTCATGTCTGCGCAATTTAAACATAAAGTACAACTGTGTAGATGTAGATGTAGATTATTGTACGACATAGTAAAGAGTTATAAGCCAATAAAATGTAAATGTAAAAGTGTTTGATGTTATTGTATTTTAGTGTGAGACAGAGACACCATGGTGTAAGTCAGTGATCTTAGCTTACTAACTACTATAAATACATACCATGACAACATGTAAATTGGTTGGCTGCATATGATCTAGGTTCAGCTAACGTCAATCAAGATTATAGCAGCATACCTTGCAATAATAATAGTTAAGCCAGTGGTAAGAGCATATCTAAGGGGATACATTTAAGAAATTAATTAAATGGGTTCATTAGTAGAAGTAACTTATATGATATGATAGAAGCTAAAATTTGATTGTTATCCAAATAGCTGTCAGTGAAATGATGTTCCATGATAAAGGGGTTAGTCAAATAACTTTGGGCTCAACTCTGGCTTTCATAGCCTCAGCTGGCTCACTTTTAACTTGGTTTGATCACCACAATAACCTCTGATCTTTGGATTTGAGATACCTGTTCCAGAGCAGATCAAGATCAGGGGATCAGATCAAAATGTGTACCTGTAAACAGACCTTGTCTGTCCGCCTTTTGGTGTTGGGCAGGCAGCATACATTGTATTTATCAGAGCCTTTTTGCTGAAAACATCTGCTCGCTGATGCAGGAAATGAGGATGCTGAAAGCAGTGAGACTGAACCAAAACGGTAAAGTTGTGGGACATAAAAGTAAAACAATGACGTGAAGGATGCTAAAACACTATGACAGAGCTGAGTAGAACTGCAGTGTTGCATAATTCTCAGTGGAGTTCTAAACTACAAATGACCCCTCTCACATTACATGATGTCAGAATCAGAATCAGAATCAGAATCAGAAATACTTTAATAATCCCCGTGGGGAAATTACTTGAAAGGTGGGTACAAGAAACAGGAAAAAACAAGAGGAGAGGGGAGGGGAAAAAAGCCGCTCCCAAACTCGACGCTCCCAAACTCTGCTCCTGTAGGGGAGTACAGTGTGGGACTGGAAAAAAAACCTCAGCAAACATAAGCACATATAATCACACTTTACAACATAAGAACTCAAAAACAACTTGCACCGGGGGAGGTGGGAAAGGGGGGTGGAGGCGTACCAGCACGGACAGGCAGCCGCGGCGCAGCCAACTTGGGCGCAGCCATCGGAGGGAGACTGAGAGAGAAAAACAATGGTTCCTGTGTGTGTGCAAATTAAATAGCCTCAGGTTAGCATCCATGCTCCATGGTAACTCTAGACTGCTGGAT